TGTGGCAGGCGAGGCCGAGGCTTCCCGAAGCTGGGGGGGGGTTTATCCCTTGCGTCCCGGGGGTCATGAGGCCTTTAGAAGAGCTGCGGGTTGAGGAGGCTGGTGTAGACAGGAAGCGCTGTAAGGATGTCTGGGGTCGTTGGTCGTCGGTAGGACGAGATTTGGTCTTCAACGACATTAAAAGCGAGGTTATGGGATGCCGTGATCAGCTGAAAAGTCTCAGGTGGCAGCAGAGCTCAAGCAATGTGCTTCCTCACGCCGCCATAGCCAAGCCACGCCCCCCAGTTTGGAATTCAACAAAGATAGCTTTATAGTTTTAAAAGTCATCCAAAAAAATCTGCTAAAACATGTATTTGTATTAACAATTTGGGCTGTTCCTATGATGTGGTTTATCTTTGAAAAGTGCAAGTTTTATAACAGAAACTTTAATATTTAAAGTGGACCTTTACCCTCTTTGACTAAAAATCACATCAGCATACAGCACTGCATGCTGATATGAAATCATCTTACATTCTTACATTCTGCCACAGGCAGTGATTTCAGCTAAGAGTGTGGAATTGTTCAAGAAACTTTTGGACGATTTCCTAAGGGACCGTAATATACAGGGGTACAAGTACTCCTAAGAATGAGATCCTATAGGTTGGACTTGATGGACTAATGTCTTTATTCAACCTCAAATACTATGTAACTATGTAATTCTTTAGCTAAACAAACATATTTTTATTTTACTTACAATTCCTGTTTTTACACTTCCTGGTCCACTTGGGCACAAATGATGTAATCGTGCCCAAGCGTTGCATCCTGGGAAGGTTACATCAGCAGAGCATTGCTGGGAAATCTCATCTGTATTCTCATGGGATTTCAGGGAAAGGCATTTTCCTCCCCTAAGATGATGTCCTAGTCACATGTGCCAGAGTTCCAGGAAGTGAAGGGAGATCTAGTAACCTGCCCTAAGTTAAGATGGCCACTTTGAGAAGACTGGTAAAGAAAAGAGAAAGCACTGACTACTGCAGGACGGAGGATCAGGTGAGTCTATCTTCATTATTCCAACCCCTAGACCAAAACAAGTAGTTAACCCTTGCAGTGCGGGGTTGTCCACTGCAAGGGTTAGTTTTCTACAGTTTCTGGAGTTCCTGTTTAAAGGTGAGCAGTTACATGTATATAACAACATGCAATTATGGGAAATGATGCCAAGGGAGTGTTCACTAATAATGTTCTGGTTTTGACTGCTTTCTGGTGTGAAAAGCTGTAGTGACTTATTGTGCTTGAATTATCCTAGTAGATGCATCAATGAGACAGTTCCATTACATCTATATTGTGCCAAGTATATGAAGCAGTGTTGTCTTGAAAACAGAGACAAATAAGCAAATATATTAAAATTTGATTTTCAAGCAATGAATTACATACTGTATAGCTCTTTTATCTGCTTTAAATATCTATGACTGATTTATTTTGCCTTTCCTGGCCTGGCTGTGGACAGTTCGGTTTGTCTTATGGTGGCTCTGCTTTGTTGAATTAGTTTTGAATATAGGACACTGGAAGCTGGACATAAAGGAGTATCTTTGGCAGACTAGGTCAAGCATACAGTATATGAGTCTGTAGCTCTGGTAGTCTGAAAAAGGATTAGCCCAGGTGCAAAGTGACCACTTTGTCAATAGATTGTGGGTTAGGTGGAATAACATTTTTTGTGTGATTTGGCTTGATAATAGTTTTTGTTTTTTTTGTATTACCAGCATTTATCAAAAGTGGTTTGTTTTTCACTTTCAGAAAACATTCTGGTGTACATTACTATCTCTCTGTGTTATAAATTGTGGACATTAAAAAGAGGAGTTTACCTGTAAAGGGCAATGAATGGGATAATATAGTATAAGCATTGCTTTTTTTTATTGGTATTTCAAAGCAATGGGTTTTTCTATTAAAAAAAAAAAAATGTGTAAATACTCTTTTAATTTGAGGCCTAAATAGAGGACATTAAATGCAACAACCCTTTGGACAAGTATTATTTTTGTCAGATAAACATAATATATAAAATGCATCAGCCCTGTTCTAACCTAACAGAATAGCAAGATAATGTAGTATAACTGTACCTGCTTTACTGGTACCTTACAAGTTACGGTTGATTTTCAATTTCCACAAATCTTTTAGCGTGTGCTATTTTCCTTTTGCATGGATGTAAAGCATTCTTTTTCTGCAATTAGGAGAAAAAATACTACATGCATTTATGCAATAGGGACAATAAGCACAACCATAGTGATGTAGAGGGCTATTTACTAAGGTGCCAAAGGATCCTTCGGCTCACTTTGGCCACTGGAGCCCTTCAGTTCAGTTGAACCGAAGGGCTGCTGTGCGTGCTATTCACAATACAGCAGCTGAATGCAGCCAAGCGGCTCTATTGAGCCGAATGTATATGCTTCGTCTCAGCTGAGCCATATTACAGCCAAAGCGGGGAGAACGGTCTGCCAAAGCCGACCATTCTCCCCGCACGTGACAACAACTGGGCGGATCTAGCCCAGTTGTTGCCATTCAATGACAGTCCAGTGTCCTCAGGTTATTTGAGGACACTGGGCTGTCATTAAATGACAAGAACTCGGCAGAGCCGGCCGTGATGTCACAGCCAACTTCACCCATTTGTTTTGATTTGTCCGGGACCTGCGGAAGGCCTCTGACAGGTAACGGACAAATGTAAACAGTTGGGCAGAGCTAGCGGTGAAGTCACAGCTAGCTCCGCCCAATTGTTTATATTTTTCCAGCATCTGTCAGATTCTTAATTCTGCGGCGGGAGTTTTTCGCGTGCGGTCGGCGGGCATTGGGTTTGTTTTTATTTAGATGAGTCATCATTGTTGTGGACAACGCTGGATGTCGTGATTGACCCCTGGATTATATCATTGGATCAATTTTTGGGATTTTTTTTATTAATAAAGCAATTGTCAAAAATTTTCATTGTGTTTTTTTTGCAATTAAAGGATTTTTTCTAAATTCTGGTCTCCCTGGGTACCCCTTACTAATTTACAAGGGGGGGGGGGCGTGCATCTGGGTACCCCTTTATCAAAGGGGTACCCCGATGCAAATAAGCTTCCCTGCCCACAGACCCCCCACAACCAATGCCCCAGGGCAAGTGTGGAAAAAGCCCTTGTCCCCATCCACTCAGGGACATGGTGCTTTTCCAGGGGGGACCCTGTTAAAGCACCCTCCCAGTGCCAAGGCATATGGCCTGGTATGGCAAGGAGGGGGACACTCGCTCGTCCCCCCCTCTTTCCTGCCCTGCCAGGCCTGTGCTTAGATCAAGGGTCTGGTTGGAAATTCCTGCCCTGCCAGACCTAAAGGGCCTTTTATTTTTAACTTGGGGTCTGGTATGGTTTGGGAGAGGGATCCCATTCTGTTTTTTTTATTATTTTCTTTACATTTTTTATTATTTTCTTTACTTTTTTTTCATTTTTTAAAATTAATTTTTATAATTTTTTCCTTTTGTTTACATTGTGTTTATTCTGCTCGCTACGTCGGAGGTAGCAAGCAGAATAGCCAAGCCGCTTGGCGGCATTCGGCTATTTACTCACTGCCGTTCGATCCCCATGAGAATAGGGGCGAATGTCAGCGAGTAAACTGCCAGAGGTTCGGCTCAGCCGATCCAGATCTTGGATCGGCTGAGTTGAACGGCTTCTTCACTTTGGTTCATGCAGAGCATTTTCAGCTGATCTAAGTCAGCCGAGGTATGGCTGATTTTAGCCGATGTACGACTGAAATCAGCTGTACAGGCCAGAAGTTAATAGCCGAACGGAGTTCGGCTCAGTTCACTTCGGCTCGGTTATTCACTTGGCTGCCTTCAGCAGCTTAGTGAATAACTCCCTTAGGCTTTAATCCTATATGCTAGATGGTTACAAGAGTGCTGGGGAATTCGCACAAAAATTGCTGTGAACCATTGCATATCAGAGGTTATAAGTACAAAAAATACTAGAGGGTTTGGTATACCAGGCACAAGCCAATCAGACAGGGAATTCCTCCTGACAGCAAATGGAGACAGAAGTGGAAGCATCTAAATGTTAGTGTCAGAATATGTAGCAGAGAAGAAAATTCCAACGTGACCGTCAAACATACTCTTTATATAATGTTAGAAGTATTATTTGAATGTTTTAATGAGGGTAAAGACGTTAAAATGGGAAAAATGGCAGCCATAGTCACAGATTGGGTAGTTTGCCCACAAGGTTTGCCCTTAATCACTTTGGAACTTTTGCTTCCGATGTTATGAAAAAGGGCAGTGATTCCCATATGATGAAGATAACAAAAAAGAAAGTCTTGACTATGCCAACATCTGATGAGTAACTTCCCAGTGACAGGATATGCTCAAGTAGCTGTACGTCAGTTAGCAGATCTGGGCTATGTGGGAGGAAGCTGTAGAAGAGAGAAGCTGTGGTTCACTGTAACTGTGTCCTTAAATGGGCATTAGAGATGGAGGGAGGAAGAGGTGGCCTGTGCAGACACTTTTATTTATGACTATGACACATCTTCCTGATAGCAATGATATTTTTTGAATCACAAACACAAACATTTTATTATTAGATTAAAATTGATTAGGTTTGAGTTTGCAGATCTGGCTTATGTTAACGGATATGTATATATCAGCACAATTTACATTTATTTTTATTTTTAAATCATAAAACACATTTAAATGGTGCTAATATATTGTGGAAAATGAGCATACACAGTTGTGGTTTTTTGGTAATAGTTTCATTTTGCATCAAACATGTATGTTTCAGTTGTTTGTTATTTATTATTCAGAGTACATAGATAAGTGGTTAGCTGTCTTGTCTTGTAGCACAGAGCCAAGCCAACCCATAAGATGAAGAAATGGCCACTATGGGTGCTGCAGTGGGGGAGGGGCAGCTGCACAATGTTTCATATAGTTTTTTGTACATCTGCAAAAAAAGGTGTCAGCACAACATCACTTAATAAAATAAAGAGCTACTACATGTTTCAGAAGGCATGACCAAAGACAAAGCAATAAGCAACACCTGGGCATAAGGATTACAAAGTGACCAGGAGCATTGATCTTACATTTACATAGTTACATAGTTACATAGTATTTGAGGTTGACTAAAGACATATGTCCATCGACAAATCATCTGAATACATTGTTCTTGTTAATATAAAAACATTTCCAAAAGATTGAAAGATAATAGTGATGTACTCTTACCTAAAAACAAACATAACTGCACTCTTAAAAGGATAGAAGTATGAGAAGGGTCATTGTTGAGGCTGAAGTCTGGCAGTTGCTGGAAGTCAAATGCCTGACCTCACAGACTGAGGTTCCTTTTAGTTACAGTGGACTTTTACCCAGATCTTTAAAATAACAACAAACACACCTTTAGAAATGTTTAGTAATGACAATCTACAAACACATACTTCTAGATAATCGCTGGCTTTGTATTCTTTGCATACCTTATTTTTCTTTTCTTCCCCAGTCTTCTGGCAGTGGCCATGTTTACTAAGGGCAGATTGCTAGCTCTCCTTTTACTTACTTGATTTCCTTGCACATGTGACCATGCACATCATCTCAGGGGAGGAAAATGCCGTTCACTGAGATCTCGTGATTACAGATGAGATTTCCCAGCAATGCTCTGCTGATGACAAGGCAATCCCAGGATGCATTGCTTTGGAAAACTGAAGAAATTTGCACTTTCAAAGCAGGAAGTGAATGCTCTGCAAGTGTAAGTATTTCAAAATCACAGCATTTTACACCTGACATGTCCATGTTATTATTAATCATCATACATAGAGGGATGCATTGGTAGATGCATTGGTAGAATTTGATTTTTGAGTGTAAAAGCCTGCTTTAAGGAGGTAAGTGTGTTGCAAAGTGAGGTAAAGCTGTTTTGACTTCAATGATCCAATGGTATGCAAGCAGAATCCTGTAATTTAAGTGACACTAAATTCAGGAGTTAAATCATAAAAATACATTAAGTACCCTAACTATTACAATAATGTACCTTATTTGTGCATCATTCAGCTGTAGATCCTCAAATCACCTCTGAATTGGTGCTGACACTGTCCTCCCTTCTGGAGGGTGGCTACTTTTGTTCCCCATGGTCCCTGTGTGTGTTGTATAGTAGTCAACACCCCAAGCTCACTCCTGTGCTAAACTACAATCTCAAGTTTAGTTTACTAATTAGTATTGCAACACACACAGGGACCATGGGGAACAAAAGTAGCCACCCTCCAGAAGGGAGGACAGTGTCAGCACCAATTCAGAGGTGATTTGAGGATCTACAGCTGAGTGATACACAACAAAATACACAAAAAAGATACAGATTTGTTAATAGTTAAGGTACTTGAATGGATTTTTAAGATTTAACTCCTGAGTTTAGTGTCACTTTAATTTTCTTTTCATAAAATTGGGTATGCTTTTCAAATTCTTATTTCACATAAGCTTCCCGGCAAAGGCTATTCACTTCAGGCTGGTACGGCTGATTTCAGCCGTATATCGGCTGAAATCAGCCGTACATCGAGTGGCTTCGGGTCGGGTCGGCCGAACATGCTCATGCCCGAAGTGCAGAAGGAGTTCGACTTAGCAGATCCAACATTCGGCTCAGCTCTTCTGCTCGGTCCCTGTGTGGGACCGAGCAGAACAGAAAAATAGTTAAACAAGGAGAAATTGGAGAGTTAGGCTGTCTGGAGATCAGTGTCCCTGGTTCTGCAAGTGGCCGGAGCCAGCCGTAAGATCACGGCTGGCTTTGCCCAGCTGTCATAAGCAGGCTGTCGGCCGGCCAGCTTCGGCTTTCACTTCGGCTCGGTCGAGCCGAAGCATATGCCTTCGGCTAAACTGAGCTGCCCGGCCGACTTCAGGAGCTGTACGGGCTATACTGAATAGCCCGTACAGCAGCCCTACGATTCGGTAGGCTGGGGCCGAAGCTAGCCGAAGGATCAGCCGAAGCTACAGCTAGATCCTTCTGCTGCTTCGTGAATAGACCCCATTGTATCTGTGTGGAGGCATTCTATGTGGGGAGAACATAAATATAATAAAGATAATGGCTAATTTTAGTCCAATTGATGGGTTCTTAGAAGCTTCTGTCACTCAGACAAATCTTTATGCCACACATCAGAAGTACTGGGTGGCAACACATTTTATAGAAATGTAAATAGTGCTCGGTGTCATACCGAACATGGGCCTAGTCTAAAAGCCCACAATTTAACACTACTGGGCTTCTAGCCTCATGCATGCCACTCCTGCTTTTTCAGCAGTGATACCCAGAGACCGGCTTGAAGCAGTGTCCTGCTTCTCACATTTCAGCAACAAATCACAGTGTCCCCCAAGTAGCCACCCCGAACACGGTCGCATCTTCAAATTCCAACTACTAATTTATTTTTTATCTGACAAATGTTCATCAGTATATACTCCAGAATAATTTGCCTCTATATGAGTCACTAATGCATTTTGAACAACGGCTAAATTTTAGGAAATTCATGCCTGATTCGTGCCTGATATGGGGTTAAAATTTACAAATGGTGTGGAAGCACAACAGGGAACATGTTTCCGTTCAATATATATAAAGGAAGGGATCACCAAGTTGATCTTTAGGGCTTCCCAACCAATATGGGAATAAACTGTACACTTGTCTGATAATGATGCACCCTCTGCTTCACAAAGGCTACCACCTGTACATGAATAACCACTACACCAATGTGCAAAACACAGGAGCATGTGGGACCATGAGGAAGACCAGAAAATATTTCCCACAGCAGCTGGTGAGACAGCCTCTACAGCAGGACATATAAATAGGTTATCAGTTGAGACAGATGACTGATAAGTTTGCTAACCACAAAGACATACTGTAAATATGTAGGGCTGCAGCTAATGATTATTTTCATAATAGATTAGTTAGCCGATTATTCATTTTGATTAATCAATTAATCGGATAAAAATAAAAAAAAATGAATACTGTCATTTATTTAAAATAAAATACACAAATGCAGCATTACAGACATAAAGTTTACTTCAGAATAAAAAGGTATGCACATTAACATTATTAACTTTATATTTTTAACCGTTTTTTGTTTTTTTTTACTTCATTGCTGGGAGCAATAGCCAGCCGGCTATTGGATATTTCAAATTGCAATAGCCAATAACAGGCTGGCAATTGCACCTGCCCACTGCCTGCTGTCATTCAGCAGAGCAGAGAAGGGACCTGAAGGAAAAAGTTCTCCATCAGGTCCTCCTCTGCTTATTGACAGCGGGCAGTGGGCGCAATAGCCAGCCTGCTATTGGCTATTGCATTTTAAAATATCCAATAGCAGACTG